TCAATGGGAAGCGCTCCAGAATTTTTCGTATTGGTAGAGGAGGACCGCAAGGGTCTTGCTTCACTCCAACACTTTTTATCACTTATCATTGTGATATGTGGACCTTTCTCGAGAATTCCCTCGCAAAGAAAAATTTCGTCACACATTTGATTTGAATTTATTACACCGATCATTGTAATTTTTAAACTTAATAATAACCGAAACGATTGCAGATAATCTATGAGCAATTGATCCGTATTAAAACTCTCTACTATCTCAAAATGTTTTAGACATGGAAATAACCGCGTGATAGATTTCGAGCGGTTCGAAAGTATTTTTTCAAATGTTTTAAAATTATCTAATACTAAACGTTTAATATGTAATCGAATCGTAGGAAGCAATGTAATACAGCAATATTCACAAACATGTTCATCAGCAAAATTTACTTTACATATCTCGGGTAGATATTCATTATCCCTTACATTGTTGATTGAAACTATTGATTTTGTACTTTACTATTTAGAGAAAATGACTAGAAACAAAAGACAGCAGTGAGAGTAACTACACTGAAGACAGTTCGAATATAACTATTTCTAATAAGTTTAATTATTTAATTGAGTTTCATTTTATGTTGAAAATACCGACAAAGGAGTATGATCGAGTTGATACAGTGTTGAGTTTGTTTCATAAATTAGAACGATTATCATTAAATATCGTGTGTGTCAATCGTGAAAGTTTCATTGATGGGTACTGGCTTGACCGTAAGTTTGAGAAACGAATGACTTAAGCGTATTTAGACAGACATATTCTTCGTTTCTCTTCTAGATAATCGCAGCTTTTTATCAAAACTTGAGAATCTAATTGATTTTCGATTTGATATATTATCAATAACATCACCTAATTTTATGATTAAAACAAGCGACGATGTTTTATTAACATTTCAGTCTGATTACTGGCTAAAAAAAGGATGGAGTATTGGTTGTTTTGTTAATAGAATTGTTATTGATACGATTGAAAATATTGCATATTATTATTGTTATGTGTTTACCTTACCGTATCAATATAAAAGATTTGAATGTGTTCCACAAGCATTTCTAAATTACAAAGAAAATTCTTTTGCGAGACAAATGGTACTTGACAAATGGTCAAATGTCCGATATTTAATATTGGACGACAGAAATTATGTTGCATATTCGATCGAATTTTTTCAGTTTATTAAAGAGAAATTTATTCATTTAAAAATACTTTCAATCGATGACAGTTCTACATTCGAACAACAAGTAATCAGTGATAGATAACTCTTGCTGCCTACAGTTAACACATTGCGCATAGATGATGCAATTGTGGATATAAATGTTGGAAAAAGAGCTCTATTAATGGTACCAAATATTGAAAATTTATCAGTATCGTATGAGAGTATAAAACTTATAACAAGTAATTTTACTGATCCAGATTTGAAAGTGACATGTTCGAAAATAAAGAAACTTATGATGGGTAATGCCATTGTAAGTCAACCAAAACAATTTCAAGAATATTTTTCAAGTGTTTTCCACTAAATGTTTGTTCTTTGTTTAAAAAACGTTTTTGAAAAAAATAGTTTTCAAAAGTATACATTCTGCTTCCAAAAGGAATAAAGGATGATCATGAGAATCTAATTGTTTTTCGATTTTATATATTACCAGTGACATCACCTAATTTTATGATTAAAACAAGCGACGATGTTTTATTAACATTTCAGTCTGATTACTGGCTAATAAAGGAAATTTTTAAGCTGACAGTTGCGCCGTCACGTCAAAGGGAGGGCTCGCTTTCAGCTTAAAAATTTTGTTGAGATTTTTGAGTACTGCGGTTAAGATGGAACTCTGATCCGGCGTCTCAGACTTGGGTCTGGCAGAGAATTTTCGGTAAGTCAAAGACAAGATTTGGGTACCCAGTGGGACTTAGTTTAAAAGGAACATTTTGTAAATTCTATAACTCAAACTAAGTCAGAAGAGACTAAAACTTTTTCTCGTTAGTACCTAGTACTATATTTGGTACTCACCGCGAAGAATTTTAGTAATTTCATTTTATGATACCAGCAGTAGTACTAAATTACTACTAACTTTTGATACTCATTCGAAAAAGCTTTAGTAAATAATTAACCTTATTAGAAATCATTATATTCGAACTGTCTTCGTCATATATTCTCTGAACTGTTATATCTAAATGTTCAATGACTGTATCAGTCTTTAATAATATAGTGCTTTTTATAAACTTCAGTATGTAGATCATTACATATAAGAAACTTTTTCTCTTGTTGGCTCTCTCTGAGACCAACATCGAAGAATATGTTAATTTACGTGCGGGTATGCCATGTCATTTACATCCAATGAGTGCATTATTCGGTTGTGGATTCACACCCGACTATATTGTTTATCATGAATTAGTTATGACAACAAAAGTAAGTCGGGTGCCACATAATGTTCACCGTAGTGTCCATATGCTCAACATAACCAAATCATTGTTGAGGCGTTGAATATTTTAAACCGACGGATCGTAGGGAAAACCCCGTGAATATTTTGAATCGTGTAAGCAGTGAAAGAGGATGAAGGGACGTTCTTAAAACTGTTGCAGTTCTCAAGCTTTAGTCTAATGAGTACATATTATATTTCGAGGAATACATGCAGTGGGTGTAAATGGTCAATGGTTAGCTGAACTGGGTCCAATGTCTTCAGTATCAAAGATTCGATTAAATCATGTGATGAACGACGACATAAAGAAGACAATGGAAAATCAAGAATGGAAGAAGAAATGCGTATTGGTGCGAAAGAATTTGAGCGAATAAAATAAGAAGCACATACAGCGATGCCTACACACGACAGTGAGGTAAGAATATGAAAAAAACTAATTTTGATTTGAATATAAAGTTTTACTTAACGTCTTTCTTAGATCTACACCATTTCGCAGTGGACTTAGAAAACCAATACAATCTTCTCTATTTTGTTATTTTTGATTTTAAATGATACAAAAAACTATAGGTTAATTATATAGCTTTTTGTTCAGAGTGTGTTTTCGTTTTTCTTGTTTTTAACTATTTATTGGACTTATTTTAGTTTTTCTTCTATTTTAATAGTAATTAAGTTGAGTGTTGCTGCTTTTCACTATTGAGTTATTGTTATTAGTATTGAAATGTCTTATTTTATAAATTATTATATTTTGGCCTTTCAAAAGCATGTGAAGTTTTGGCTTTTATGATTGTTTCATTCAATTGATTCTTTTTATGTTTTTTAGTGTTTTTGTTTCTTTTCTAGGATTGCTTATAGTTTATGAGTTGTGGCCGTCATCGACTATTACTTCGTGACAACAGTTATATGTGACGTTGTATGTCTGACTCAAATGGTCGATCACTTGGTTATTGTTCCACAAACGATGCTGGCATCTTGCACGATGAGAAATTTTTACGGACATATTTACTGGCGAAAAGAAGTTCAAGATTGATCAACGTGAAAAAGTTTATAGGTCCGAAGACATTCTTGGGTCAAGTGAAGTTTCGTGTTGCTGTTTTTGCAGCAGTTTGGTGCAATGGTCGGGCTAATTTGGTATCGATAAGAGATCGAATGAACACGTCCAGGTATTTGGAACATGGCGAATCTGTGTTGGGTTCTCATCTTCGACGTATCAGCAAGCATTTCTTCATCCATGACAGAATCATCAGCTTAGTTGTATGGATGGCTATCCATCTGTGAGTCCCGAATTAAACGCCAGTGAATCAGTCTGGGGCTGGATGAAGAAATATCTTTGGTCGAAAAAGATCAAAACTCAAAGACAATTAGAAACGTATGTTCAGAAAGCTTGGGAACGAATTCCCGTCCAAGTCATTCGTGGTTAGATCAATAACATTTTGCAAATCGCAGAAAGAATCTTTTTTGCTGTTGGTGGCGATATTGATGAATAATTTGTTGTAAGAACAACTAATCTATCGAACTTTTCATGATTTTTATTCGAGAACGAACTTTTAAAGAATAAATCAGAGCTCGATTTTCATGAGTCTTTCTTTATTCATTGATATGGGTGGTTTTTCCCCGCGATAGTAACTCTGACATGGAATAATTATTCGAAGGATGCACCACTCACTGGTCCACACACTTTGCGAACATTGCCCAAGATGTCAGCATGTGTGAATGCCGCTCGTCAGGCAACTGATCGATATCATGTCACTCAAAACTACAAAAGAAACACTCGAAAAACGAGAAAAATAACACCTGGTTCCCGCAACCACCTGTGAGTACCTCAGATTGATTGGAACGGTTCTCAGTCAATTCTTGAGCTATATGGCTGAAACTTTGTTTACATGTAGAATCGAGCATGGTCTATGAGTGGTAGATATATGAGATCGAAAGAATGCATGGTCATGGAGAACGATGAAAAACAAGCTTTTCCGTTTATTTTGACCCGGCGGATATATAACTATTAGTTTGTTTTTAATTTCTTTCTTTGCTTTTGTGAAGTTTGATGATATTTATTTTATGGTGGTTGTTTTATTTATGGTAATTCCGCCTTCTTTTCGTTTTATTTATAAGTTTCTGATTGTTGTTGGTTTGTTTAATTTGAAATTCGTCTTTTACATAATGTTTTGCTTTTAGTTTATTATTTTATTTTTAAATATTTCTCACTACTTTTAATAAGTCATTATTTTTAGTTTTATTGGCTTTTATGTTTTTGTCTATTTTAATAAATAGTATTTATGTTTCGTTCGCTTTATTCTACTAACCATAAGGATATTGGTACTTTGTATTTTATTATATGTGTTTGGGCTGATATTTTAGGTGTAACTTTGCTAATTCGTACGAAATTAGGAGATATTGGAGGTTTAGTTCGTTTTGATTATTTTGTCCATGATAACTATCGGGCGACTACATAATAACTGCGCAACATTGATGAAGTTTTCCGGAATCCATCGCAAACTACACTCTTATTTTCTGTTATTTCTCTCATTTTATTCATTTTGTCTGAAGTTATATATTTTGTTTCTTTTCTCTCGTGTTATTTTGATTTTGTGTTTTCTGTTGGTATGGAATGGCGGTGTGTGTGTGGCCGCCTAAGGGGATTTCAAGAATTAATCCGTTTAGAGTCCATTAATTCTTTTATCTTCAGGGGTTACTATTACATGGATACATTTTAGGATTTTAAGTAATAATTGACTAAAACGGATGATTAGTTTATTTATTACATGAATTTTAGGTGTGTAGTTTTTATTGGTTCAGTTAGGTGAGTATAGTGAGGCTGCGTTTAATTTTATAAGAAGAGTTGTGGGAGTGTGAGGCAGAGGTGTGGGATAGAAATGGTGATAGGTAGAAAGAACCAAATTAGATTTACACCCTATAAACTAAATTCTCACATCATATAGTCGGTGTGACTAAGCATCTCAATTTATGCACGGCGGGGAAGGTCCTGTTAAAGATGGAAAAGTTCAAGGCAAGTCGCTCTACATCGGGTACCTCTGCTAGTAACATATACAAACAATAACTCAATAGTGAAAAGCAGCAACACTCAACTTAATTACTATGAAAATAGAAGAAAAACTAAAATAAGTCCAATAAATAGTTAAAAACAACAAAAACGAAAACACACTCTGAACAAAAAACTATATAATTATAACTATATAATCACCAAAATTTTCGAGTAGGGGGGGGGGAATAATACTTTTCCAGTCCATTTCTCCTCTCTATCCCTCCGCTGTCGAAACACCCCCGCTGAGTTATCGAGAAAATAATTTCACTTCGGACTTCTCCGATGAGACTCACTGTAGCG